AAGCGAAGAAGAATTAAGCGAAACCGCTAGTCAAATTTCGCCGACTGTTCCAACCAGTTCCGTAGCAAGCCCCTTAATACCTAATGAAATTACGACGAAGATCGAAACTCTAATCAGCCTCGAAGAGGAAATACAAACATTAGACGAACAAAGTCTATTACTAGGAGAAGGATTAGAGTTGGCTAAGCAAAAAAATGAACTTTGACAAAAATTTTGCCACATAGCAAAGGAACAAATAACTATCTTACAGGAGGAGTTGAAAAAAGCCCGTGAAGACGAAGCCCGGTGAAGAAGAAATTATGAATGATCCGAGATATGTGAACACTATTACAAACAGAAATCTCGAGAATGAAAACGAAGATTACAAAAAGCCCTCCAAAAGTTAGACCCGTCGGGATCTGAAACTACGAAGATTGCGGAACTCGAAAATAAACTATGAACCGTGCAGGAAGAGATTACTAATGCTAACAACAAAATTGCAGAATTAAAAGCGGAATTACAATTAAATCAGCGAGAGCTTGACAGGTATGAAAAAAGTCAAAGTAGTTCGTCAACAGTAGAGGAAATTAACCGGAAAGACCAAGCAATTAGAGAAAAAGCTAACGAAATAACAAGATTGGGAGCGTGTGTGGAAAGTTTGGAAAGAACCACAAGCGACCAAAATACGAAAATTAATGGTTTAAAAAACAAACTAGCAGACCAAGAAGAGGAAAAGGCAAATTTGCTTTCTAGCAACAACCAATTACGACTAGCAATTTTCCTAAGCGGTAGTTTGCTAGTGGCCGGAATTGTTTACTATTTTTTTTTCGGAAAAAAAACTCCTGAACCCGAGAAAGAAAATCCTCGTTATCCTTTTCCGTTAAAAAACCAACCCAAGATTAAGCTATTATAAACATGTCAAAATTAACTAGTCGCATTATTACTATTCCGCCCGAAGTGGAAGTTTCCCAAGTGGAGGGGAAAATCTTCGCCCAAGGTCCCCAAGGGGAAAATGAATTAGTCCTTAATGCTGAGGTTGCAGTCATTCAAGAAGCCAAAAAAATTTGAGTTAAGTCCAACAATCTTGCTCTGGCCGGAACTTTTAATTCTTTAATTTTTGGATTGATTGCCGGAGTTAGCAAAGGTTATAGGGCAACATTAGAAGTTAAGGGGCTTGCTACGGAACTGGTTGGAACAGTCGGCGAAATTTGACTAGCGGTTTCGCTTAATTCTTCTTCGCTT